ACCCGAAGCGAAAGCGGATCGTTCCATTACAGAAAATTGCTCTTGAGAAAGGAAACCCTTCCTTCGGCCATTGTTTACAACCGGCAAAACAAATGGCCGCCAGTTATTCCTCATATTTCCCCCCCACGCAAAAGGAGAAGGCTTGGCGGAAAAGCCGACAGGCATTGGGTGGGGGGATTGGGGTGGGGGGGATGGGAGGGAGGTGGGGAGGGAAGCAGGGGGGGATTTGGGGGGGGGAGGGAGGTTTTGGGGGGATTGAGGTTGGAGAGGAAGATAGGGGGGGGAGAAAGGGAATGGGGGGGTTGAGTTGGGGCGGGATGCGGAGATCAGGGGATGGGATGAGGGAGGAGGGAACTGGGATGGGGTAAGGCCTGGGGAGTCGGGCAGGGGCTAGGGAGTAATGTGGATGGGGAACAGGAGGGGGGGAGGGGGTTGGTAATGGGAATGGGGATGAAGGGGATTTTCTAGGATGTTGGAGGGTGGAAAGGAATGGGGTCTGGGGGTAAGGAAGGGGGAGGGAAATGGGAGGGAAAGGGGAAATGGGTTTAGGGAAGGGGGAGGGAATTGGGACGGGAGTTTGTTGGGAGGGCGGGAAGGGGTTGAGGGAGGGAAATGAGAGGAAAGGGAAGGGGAGGATAGGGAGGGGTGGAGAGAATGTGGAATGTTGCGAGGGGGGAGGGGAGGGAGGGGGGGGGGGAGGAGTGGGAAGGGGAGGGATGGCGGTGGGTTGTTAGGAGGGGAGAATAGGAGGGTTGGAAGGAAGGGAGGATGGGAGAGGGTGGGAGGGAGGGGGAGGAATGGGGTGGAGTTGGTATGGAGGGAGAGGGATGGGAGGGGTTAGTAGAGGATGGGGGTGGTGGGGGGAGGGAGGGAAAGGAATGGGTGGGTTGGTAGGGATGGGGGAGGATGGGGTGGGGTTGTAGGAGAGGGGGATGGGGAATGGGGTGGGGTTGGTAGAAGGGGGAGGAGGAGGAGGGAATGGGGTTGTTGGTTGGTAGGAGGGGTGGAGGGGAGGGGAGGAATGGGGAGGGGGGAGGGAATTAGGGGGGAGTTTGGAAGGAATGGGGAGGGAGGGGTGGGAGGGAGGGGAGGAAGTCAGGGCGGAGCGGTGGCGGGAGGGAGGGAAAGGGAATGGGGTGGGTTGGTAGGGATGGGGAGGATGGGGTGGGTTGGTAGAGAGGGGGAGGATGGGAGGGAATGGGGTGGGTGGTAGAGAAGGGGTGGAGGGAGGGGGAGGGAATGGGTTGGATTGGTAGGAAGGGGAGGGAGGGAGGGAATGGGGTGGGTTGAGGGAGGGGGAGGGAATGGGGGTTGGTAGGGAGGGGAGGGTGTTGGTAGTGAGAGGGAGAGGGGAGGGGTTGGGGGGTTAAGAGGGATGGGGGGAAACACGGGATTGGAATGAGAGAGTGGGGATGGGAGATAAGAAATAATGAAAAAGGATGTGAGGAAAGAAATGTGAACAAAAAAAGAAAGAAAAGGAAACAAAAAAAAGAAAAAAAAAACAGGAAAAGAGAGACCGAGATGAACAGAGAAGAAAAATAAGCAGACAGGCACAGACAGAGACAGACAGACACCCAGACACCCAGACAAGGCAGAGAGGAAGGGAGGAATATAACCCAGCAAGTACATCAAAACCAGAGAACTTTGTACCCGATCCTCCCCGGACCAACGGGAACAAAAAGGAGAGCAAGGGACGCAACAAAAGCTATTTTTAGAAAGGCGTTTTGACCCTTTCTCCCTTTTTATTTCTTCTCTCTCTCTCTCTCTCTCTCTCTTCGTTCGTAATTTCTTCATTTTTTTCGACTTTATGTTTTTTGTTGTTGTTGTTGTTTTTTTCGAGGGCAGAGGTGTGGGTTTTGCTGTCCTTGTTTATTTCTTTTTTCTTTCTTTTCTCTTCCTCTCTCGATGTACGAACATATATATATATATATATATATATATATATATATATATATATATATATATATATACTATATATGTATATATATATATATATATATATTATATATATATATATATATATATATATATATATATATATTATTATGTATATATATATTATATATATATATATATATATATATATATATATATATATATATATATATATATATATATATTATATATATATATATTATATGTTTTATCACCCTCTCTCTTTCTCTGTTTTTATCCCACTCTTTCTCCTACCCCCCCTCACTCTCTCTCTCTCTCTCTCTCTCTCTCTCTCTCTCTCTCTCTCTCTCTCTCTCTCTCTCTCTCTCTCTCTCTCTCTCTCTCTCTCTCTCTCTCTCCTCCCTCCTCTCCCTCTCTCCTCTCTTCTCTCTCTCTCCCCCACTCTCCCCCCTCCCTCCCTCTTTCTCTCTACCTTTCTCTCTTTTACAATAAAGCGATTCATATAAACTTCGAAGCCATTGATGAGACGCTGAACCTCATAAAGAATAGTTCATATCTCAAGGGAAACCGGGCTTCGGGTCGCCATAGCGGAGGAAACGGAAAATCTCATACGATGGGGAAAAAAATCATATTGACGTTCTTTTTTTCTCTTATTTCTTTTATTTCTCGTTGATTTTCTTTTTTTTTTTTCTTACGTTTCTCGTCTCTTCTTCGTCGTCTCCTTTTTTTTAGTCTTTTGTTTTTTTTTTCTTCTTTTCATTCTTTTCTCTGTTCCTTTTTGTTTT